ATGTGATCTGAGCAGAACATAATGTAACAGTTTAAAATTAAAATAATCTTATAAAGTCGATGTAATCACTGTTATTCATTGAACTGGTTAGCAGATATTAGCTTGTGGAGCATATTTAGCACTATTGAATCATGCAACAATTTAACACAAACTATTAAATATTACAGGTGATTTGTCCTCTGATTAATATTTAGACCTACAGAGTGTAAAATACTATTATAAATGTGAGTATTCTTAGGTTTCTGTTAGAGGAACCTGACCTGTTGAGAAGATGGTTAGCTAATAGAGACAAGTTTCATCCTACGTTTATTTGCATGACGAAGGTAGTAGAGCTCTTTTTTTGTCATTGTTTACACTGTAGCAGTGTTGTAGCTAGGTTAGGTTAGCGGCAGCAATACAATCACCTATCGGCTAACTGGAATGCAATTTCATTTGGTTTGTTGGGAAATGACGTCACTAGCATTTACCATTTCCGGAAATACGATGTAAATGGAACGCAGCATATGTTCTGAACTCTGAGCAGCTCCACCTAGTGGTGGGATGTTGTCACAATAACCAACATGCATTACGGGAGATGTAGTTTTCGGTCAATAAAGCAGTGACTATCTTTAAAGTGGGCCACGTAACAGACCGTGTCGGGCCACATTTGGCCCGCGGGCCTTGAGTTTGACACGTGCTCTAAACAGAAGCACATTCATCTGACATGATTTGYATTCAGAGCTCAAATTAGCTGCAAAAGACTGGAGGATGATAAACACTTTTACCTGATGAAGGTAAACAGCATCCAACCAGAATCAGATTTTATTTCTTGTTTGAGACTCAGATTATTTCTTTGTTTACGGGACTTGAGCGCCATCTGCTGGTAGAAACATGGAACTTCACCACATCTTCCCTTCTGCTGTCTAAATGAAATCACTCCCAGAATCCTTAGCTTCCATTAAAAAACACAAATAATCTGAAGGTTTGTGTCTTTTGTTAAATAAAACATGAAATTAATGAAAAATAAAAGCAGAATATTGTTTTCAGCTCCTCAGCAGAGGGTAAATCTGCTTCAGGAATCTCATACTTGTCTTCCAGCTGAGGAGGTGGAGCGGCTGGCGTCCATGAGGTCCGACTCGTTGGTGCCGGGGACCCACACGCCCCCCATCCGCCGCCGGAGCAAGTTCGCCAMTTTAGGCCGGCTGTTCAAACCCTGGAAGTGGAGGAAGAAGAAGAGCGAGAAGTTCAAGCAGACGTCTGCTGGTGGGTTTCATCCGGACGCGCCGCCGCCGGGCATTGTGGGTAAAACAGCTCTGTGGTTCGTTCAGGTGAAGAGAGGAGAGACTGTCCTGCCGTGACCTTTGACCTGATGAATGTCCCGCTGATAGAAGTCTGTCAGACTTAATGAAGAACGAGAAACTAAAAGAAAACGAGCCGAATGAAAGCTACAGTCAGAGTGAACGGTAAAATTAGCAAAAAGCTAAATAAAAGTAGCATAAGGCAACCTAAACCATAGCTAAAAGTAGGAAAAGACTCAAAAATGGGGAAATAGCAAAAAGAGGGATAAAAGGTTGAAACATACCACTAGCTAAAGGCTAAAAAACAAAAGAATTAACAAAAAACTATCAAAAAGAAGTAAAAATAAGTAAAAGCAACAGAAAAACCAGCAAAAAGAACAAAAAAAATAACAACATAAATCTAGCTGAAAATATAAAAAGGCAGGATTAAAGAAGGGAGTAGCAAAAAGACAGCTAAGGGTTTGAAGCAGAACACTAACTAAAAGCTAAAAAAACAAATATTAGCTAAAAGAAGCAAAAAAAATTGCAAAAAGCATGAAAAGGCAACAGTAGCAAAAAGAGGGCTAAAAGGTTGTAACAGAACTCTAGCTAAAAGCTAAAAAACAAACACTTGCTAAAAGCAAAAATCCTAAAAGAATTAGCTAAAAGTAGCAAAAGGTTAGGTAAAAACAGCAAACACTGTAAAAGTAGTTTAAGACCATGTAAAAGTTGTTGAACCATAGTTAAAAAGTAGCACAAATGTAGAAAAAATGTTTAAAAGACTATCTAAAAATATGAAAAGGCTAGCTAAAAGACAGGAATAGCAAAAGGGCAGCTAAAGGT